ACAACACACGCTACTGTTTGTGGTCCAGCCAAATTGAGACGGCTTCCCTGTGTGTTGATCTCAGTTGTAACCTCCATTCACTGCATGTGTTGACAGTGCACCTGTTAAACAGTGAATCTGTGTGAATTGAGAGCTTATTGCTGAGCCTCAATTAAACAGGTACCACTTTTATTTACTCTGTGAGCAGGTTTACTGCCCCAGCGGTAATACATTAGTTGATTACAGGCTGAGAGAAAATGGGATTTTCTTCTCACACTAATTAAGCCTTTCATGAAAGAAAACACAGTTGTGGCGGCTCTTTCTGACTGACTCACTGTCATACTATATGTTCCTCAGTAGTACAGACTGTTTATACGGGTCATAATTCTCTGAAGCTAACAGACAGGGTCGGCCCTTGCCTTACTTTTTAAAGCCACAGGCAGCGACCTTTGACTTCTCATATTCTCGATGAGCATTGCTAATCCATGTCCTTAAATAGCACCAGGAAGGGATTATCTTAGACGAGCTACATTTGTCAGGTTTGAAGAGTGTGTGTGGCCTGAGGACGTGCCACACATCACTCATTAGTTTTAAAGGTGGTTATTATCATTAATTAGTGTTGTTTTATTATCATTCAACCATCTTTGGAAATAAGAGGCGATCATCATTTAACGAGCGAAAACTGTAAAGAGAACATTTGATTTTAACAGGATTATTATCTTATTATTGCAAACAAAAACACAGGCATCAGGAGGGTTGAGGCTCAGCTTAGTCAAGGCACATTTCTATGTGCTGCATCAGTTCTTGATAGTGATTGGCTGGGTACTCCATGCAGCAGCCAGGACACTTGAGGAAGCTTTCATTGAGTAAACTCCTGCTGCTGTATGAGGTGTTGACATTGCAGAGCTGGGAAACATAGAACAGATCAGACACAGTGTGTTTTAGTTGAATATCTTGCTCTCATCTCTACAACAGACACTAAGTTTGTCCTGTATTCCTTTGTAATCATAGTGAATAAAATGGTAACAAAATATAAAATATTTAAAAATAGAAAAATAGCCTTCATTATATTTAAAAATAAAATAGTGACTCCAGGTGTTGGTGAAGAGACTGGGACTTGGTATCAGTAGAAGTTTCTGGTTTGACTCGTCACCTGGTCTCCCATCCTGTTGGGCTCGTTCTAATGACACTAATACATCTGTGAAATCTAACTGCCCAAAGTACTTCCAATATATCCAATAAAAAATATTGAATATTTCTTGGAATTCAACATCTGTGTCTTTAACCTGAGATAAAAAAAACATATCTAAATAAGAATATATGTCAAACCTGCTTCTCTAGATCTGCAATCTTTTCCTGGTGTTCACTGTGAGAATTTATCATGTACTTCTGAAGGAGGTCGACCTGAAACGGACAGATTTGGTTTGATTATGACTGTGTTTTTTCCACTGTCAAACAAAGAAATAAAAGTACTTTCATACCTGCAGCTCAAAGGTCGCTGACCTGCGCTTCTCCTCTCGCAGCTTGAATTCAAGGTCTTTAGTCTTTTCTTTCAGATGTTTGGCTTCATCCTCTGAGCCTTGATGATCTTTCCATGAACTTGGCTGATTCCTCATCTCCTCAGTCCGCAGCATTTGCTTGAGCTTCTCCGCCTCTGTTTCCATTTTCAAGCACCTATGAATCAAGTTGTCTCATCATGGAAATGACCAGCAGAGCCACTTTAATCAGATCAAGTCTATTGACTGTCCACACCTACGTACAGTTTTTGAGTTGTTGTCAGTTTCTGTTGCGTTATGGTGACCTGCTCCCTCATCACATCAAGCTCGTGTTTGGCCTTCTGTAGGAGCCCTTCATAGTACTCCTGCATCTGCAGTACTTTCTGCTTCTCTACAATAAGAGAGCATTCAAATATTTAAAAAATGTGTTGAGTAGTGCCAAGGGTGTGAAAGCCACATATTCACTACTCCCCCTGTAATATCTGGAGATCTTAAAAACCTTGTTGTGACAGTCTCTTGCCCCTTGATGCCCCAGTGTTGAGTGCCCACTGCCCACTGACTCACCATGTGAATAGTTGTCATTGTGCTGCCTTGAGCAGGACTCTTTGGCTCCGTTCAGCTTCTTCTCCAGCCATATCATTCTGGCCGTGATTGCCGTCACACAGGCCTCTCTCTGCTGGTCATATTTCAGCCACTGCTTGTTCTTCTCCAAGGCCTTGGGGGGATGGAGTGAAAGAATGAGAAGGACATAACAGAAGACAGAAGGAAACAGAGTTGTGCCAGAGTGTGGGTCAAAAGTACAAACAGTCCACCAGACATGTACACAATACACAGACACATGGCCTCACTGACGGATCCAGGGATGAAGTACATACACAGAGGTGACTTATACTGTAACAGAAACTAGGGGCGGGTTGTGATGGAGCATCAAAGTTCTTACATACATCTTTGAGAAGAGTTTCAAGTTCTGTGAAGTTGCTGCTAGAGGCTTGTTCATCTGAGGTTAGGTCCTAATGGAAAACAACAGAACAACTGAAAACACAGCCTTAAACGTGGAATAAACAACTTTTTTTACACTGCATTTATATCTGGAAATATTAATGGACGACTTTGTGTCACAATGTTTGGGGAAAACACAACTGTAAAAATGATTTTCCAGACAACAGGAAATGCCTGAAATCAAACATTTATAAACAAGTGCCGCCATCTACTGGCAAAGAAAAGAAAAACCTGGTCTGGACTTTTTAAAAGGCTGTCTCCAACTTGTCAATACAAACGTCACTTTTTTACCTTTTTCTTCTCTTTAGCTTTGTTCTCAAGATACTGGCACCGAGTGGAAATTGTCACAAGCTTCTTCTTGATATCTTCCATCTCTGTGATGTAGGTGGAAATCCTCTGCATATTGACTGTATCCCTTCTGTTTTGTCCATCTTTGCTGGACGCAGATGGTAAAACAGTCTCACTGTCTTCATTTACCTGCTGCGGAGGAGTCTCCGGACTTCCACCATAGAAAGAGATAAGTCTCTGCCAACAGAAGGAGAACACCGTCAGTTCTACTGAACTGCTATGTATTCTCAAAGTGAGGGAGATACAAAGTAAATATTGAAATTAATCTGCCTTGCTACGTCACCTCCCACTTGGGGAGTTACTGGTTTAAATTCGTTTATACCTCGACTATCTTGAAATTCTCTGACTGCTGATGGGATAATTTCAGCAGGGCCTTCTTCAGAGAGACGTTCTCCTTCCTCAGGCTGCTGATCAGCACATCAAGCCTTGAGTTCTTGTGAAAATATTTACATCTGAAGGACGCCATCGTTGCCTCTGCAACGGACTGAAAGACAAAACATTTAAAATCATTCAAATAAAAACAAGCATCTGCCTTAGGACACAACTCTAAGACCATGTAGCCCCTAAATCCATCGTGATGTCATGGCAGTTCCTAATACAATACCACATCGGGCGTTTTTCCCCTAATCTACACATTCGATTAAATTTTCATAATGCAATAAATTAAAAAGATTGGTCGGTGTTTCTTTTTGACTAAATGTTAGTTCTTAACAACATGTTAAAAGTTCCGTAATATTAACTTTAAAATTATTTGTAAGGAATAAGATGAGAGGAAAAACAACAGTTAACAGTACAGTTAAGATACTGTACGTAGTAATTAAAAAAAGACCATTTAAATAAAAATTGTAAATGCAAAAAAAGTCAAACAGTACATTTCAGTTTTCTAAATTAATTTAATTTTCTAAATTAAAACCAACATACAAACAACATATCTGAATTAAACAATAAATTAGCCAATCGCATCAAACAAGGGGCTAATTTAAAAGATGCTAAGTCGAGCTACTGTACGTAGTATTATTAAACGTTCTTTTATTCAGGATAAATAACAAAGCCAAATTAAAACAAAATGATATTAAAATGTAAAACTTACTGTTTTGTTGCTGAGAAGAAAACACAAAAGCGAGGTTGTTGTTTTATCTATTTACTTTCCTTCGGGGGAAAGCAACTCAGTCTAACGGACGGCGTGTCTCGGTGAAAAATCGTTGTGTTGCCTTTACTGTCCTGTCGGAGTCACGTTTTTTCCTGGACCAGTTATTTTATTTCTAAACTATAAATATTTAATCACATGTATTAAGTTTCATGTAAGTTTCCATATAGGAAAGGAAACTACTCCGTTATTTTATGTTTCATTTAATGTTGTAATATTTCTTAACTGCCCACACTGTGCATTTTAACATCACCACCACGGGGCGCTTTAGTGCAATAAAAGATGTCAGGTTCTGCTGGATGGTGAATGAACCGACTTAAAAGACGTTATATGCGTTCTGCCCAATAGTTCCATGTATTAATTTTTTTTAAATAAAAAATATAATAAACTCTAAATTTCGCCTCTCTTTTGTCTGTTAACACGCCCAATAAAGGGAACATAGCACCCTTTATTGTTGATTCGCGATTGTGACTCATGATTACGTTACATCTGCCCTCCGACACGAGTGTGTTCATCCTGCACACACACGCACACCCACATCTGTGCCTTTCAGTTCCCTCTGTCAGGACCTCAACGAGTGGAATACTTTTACAGTTGGATCCATGAATTAAGTTGGATATTTTTCAAAAATGCTGCGGGTGGTCATTGAATCCGCCACAGGGATCCCTAAGAAGACAATAGGAAACCCGGATCCAATTGTCTTTGTTGACTACAAGGGTGAGAGTTTTTGTTGATGTCTGACATTGACCCTAACCATTCAACTGATGCCATTTGAATCCAGTGTTTTCTAGTCAAAGTCAATTATTGACCTTTTTTTCTCCAACTCTGTTTTGAATGTAAACATTAGTTTTGCTCCTCACTGTTGTAGACATTTACCTCAGACTTGGCAGTGATTCATTCACTTGCGTCTCCAACCTTAAGGTCAAAATGATCATCTGTGCCAGAGGACAGCTGCTGAATCAGGACGGTTCTTAAGGAATAGATTAAATGCATGTGATGAATGAAGCATTTATTCATCACATGCATGTATTGCATCTCAGTATACTTCCTGTATGTTTGTTTAGAAGTGTTTGAATGTGTTAGTCCCAAAATGAGACTTCTCACTACTTTAAAGTTAAAAAAGTTAAAAAATACAAATTTATTGTGATGAAAATGCATCCGATTATGGATGTGATTTAAAACAAATTCCTTATAAAAAATGTTCTTTTAGAAAATATTTTTCAGAACCTCCAGTGTTTAAGTTTTTTAAATGTTTTTACTTGTTAGATATGTTTCTCTTTCTTTTCACAAATCCAGAAATTTGTATTGTTTTCTCCTGAAGTAGTTTTTCTTTTGTTTTTACAGGGGAAAAGAAGAAAACAAAAGCAATTGACAATGAACTAAATCCAGTATGGAAAGAAGTAAGAGGGGAATTGTACTGTAATAAGCAGTGATTCCAGGAGTACTGTTCTGTTTAGTTGACCTGTGAGCTGTTATTGAAATTTTGATTTCGCGTTACAGTTGTATTAATAAATCATGACTTCCTCTTCGATGACCACAGGTGCTTGAATTTGATCTGAAAGGCTCTTCTCTGGACGCTTCATCGTTCATCGAGGTAGTGGTGAAAGACTACGAGAGAATCGGCAAAGATAAGTACGTTTAATTCCATCGCGCCTTTTGTTTTTCTATCTTCATGATCTCTTAACCCTTATTGGTCTTCAACATTTTTAGAGCAAAGATCCCCAAAACTGATGGAATTACGTCTGATGTAAACCTTGGCTTACTGCCTTAATGGAGCATAAACATACCTGGTTATTGAATACCAAAACCAAACTGATGATTTTATTATAAACAACTATGTACGTGTGAACCAACAAACCAACATACTCAAACACTCCTGAGCGCCCTTGTAGAAACCTTGTTGAAGACCCTATACTCTAAAGGTCTCAGTATAGGATGCACTAAACCAGTGGTTCTCAAACTCTGGGGCGTGTCCCATAGGTGGTACCCTGGCTACTTTTGTGATATGCTGTGGTTTTATGTACAAACTGCATCAGCAAGTAAATGGAACATTATTATTATTTTTATTCTTACTATTGTCAGTAGCAGCTTTCTACGTTTACTGGTTTGTGCTGCTTTATTTTAGTGGTGGTCACCCTGGTGGTACCGGTGATTTTCCTCTAAACGTTTCTTCTACAACTTAAACAATTTGTTCAATACATTTTTGTTACAAATGAATGGAAGATGCTAAGTCATGATCCCAGAATTACAACCCTCAGTCTTTTGTGGTTAAACGCAGCAGCAGCAGGCAGTCAGTATCCCACCCCAGGACATACAGTACGTGACTCCTTGGAATAGAAAATGAATTAGGGTCACAACCTGGGCTGTCCTTTAGAAGCTGAACGTTTTAAAACATGATTATACTGTGTAAGTGCCTGAGTGCTAACACTTTCTTAGCGTCAAAGAAGCTATTACAACCGTCTTACAAGAAGCAGAGTGGCATGTTTGAACTTTCCTCAGCTGAGTTACCGCAGGACTCCCTGCCACCGTGTCTGAACTTGCTGTATCAGTCGTGCTGCTGCTTTGTTTCCCCCATAGCAGCGCTGCAGATCCAAAGGATGGAATGTTGCCTTAAAAGGAAAAAGAAGGGTTTGACTTTTTCTTAATTTTGCACAAAGACCTCGCTCACACACACAGCAGTCGTGTTTCTACTTTAATTTTCTCTTCACAGAAATTGAATTAGTTTTGTATGACATTGTTAAAGAAGAGACACTTTGTTTAGATACAGTCTGACTCATCGGAATTTTTTATGGTATCAGTAGATGGTGCAGTGGAGCACTATCTCATTATCTGTCTTACACACACACACAAAAGAAAACACATACTGTACACAGACACATTTTTGCCGTAACCTCTCTCTTGCACCACATGAGACTTGATGACTTGTGTTTATCCCAGGATTGTGTGACTGTTTATCATTCTCTGAATGTTAAAGCCTCAGCTTTTTAAAGGGATGGGACAGAGTTGGTCACTCTGAGAGGACACTGTCCAGTTGCAAAATAAATGACTTTTGAAATGAAGTCAAGAATGGAAGCCTCCAATCTGTGGGAACAATTTGAGAGGCTGAGTGGAACTGCTGGTGACTAGGTTTGGCCAAAAGATTTTTACGGATGTTTCAAATTTATCTCTGTGAGTTCTTAAAGTGGCAGAACTTCTTTCCTGGCAAATTTCGTTTTTACTTCTGCTTTTGTTTATTCTTTTTTTTTTCTTTTATAGTTTCCTGGAAACATCTGCCACTGCAGGGTTTCTATATTAGTCAATGTATTTGCATAAACTGTAGTTTCTGTTGCACTGTGAAATAAAACAGTGAAGCAGCACACATAAATAACAAAAAAAAAACTTACAATTGAAAAACAAAAAGCAACCTATTAAAGAACTTAACTGTGGTCATTAAAATAATTTTCCTAACAAGGTCCAGTGTATTTCAGTGGAGGTTCTGAAGATCCAGGTTCAAATCCATTTTCGTGCCCAATCGGCCCTCGGCAAACACTTCATTCCAAATTACTTGTCATTCTCTAACCACTCTGTGCCAGTGGCAACTGGTGCCAATGTAAACAGGCAAAAAAAGAAGAAACCTAAAATTGATTCTTCATCTGAATAGAAAACATTCTGTGTTTACTTTTCTATTCTGCAACAGAATAAGTCTCCAGTTATCACTAAGTTATTGTTATTGTTATTGTGAGCATTGTTATTGACTTGGTGATCCGTCCTGAGAGGAGTTGTTCATTCAGAGTCGGTATCTGTTCAGGTCTGGCTGTTCTATCAAGTACTGAAACCCTTTTATGACTAATTACTATGTTGGTTAATCTGCAGGAATCCTTCGAGGCTTTTGGCGAGAGCTTTCAGGACATGAAGAGTAAACACAGAGACTTGAACACATTTATTATAAACACGTTATTATTATTATTAACATCTAGTCAGGAGCCGACAGTTGGTGACGATACAGTAGAGTACAATAAACCCTTCAGTTGAAATGGAACAATGGGCTCAGACCACCAACTTCCTTCCTTCACTCAAACTCTAACCAGCGCTTTTACATTGACTGATGCTTGAAAACTTAAAACACAGCTGCGAGTACGAATGCTGTTGTCATTAAAGACATTAGTTTTTCTGTCAGGGCTAGGATCCTTCAATTTGACAACTGACAAGTTATTCGATTGGAGTTGCAGTGCTGCCACCAACTGGGTGTTCATTGAAATTGAAAGACGCTGCGTGAAAGTTAGAACACACAAACAGAGGGTAGCTATCCTGCAACACCAGAGCACCATACAGCACCAGATACTGTGAATGGGGGGATTTATATATTCTGTAGAAATTCAACTTCTCCTGAACAGCTCCTTGACTGTGTGTTGGGGTTCGTTGTGATGGCATGATGGCATTAATCATGTGTGTTTGATTTAGTAACATTGTGGGCAGCGTTATTCAGTTACTCATATATGAAGAAGTAAAACTGGGAAGTGGGAACCAATGACTGTCCTCAGCCCAGATGTTCCCACACAACAATGCATAATTCACAATTGGAAAATTTCACAACGTTGCCTCTGGTCGTAGAAACTGAAGCATCGTCTGACATCTGTTGACAAATGTTCTGTGTCTTTAACAAACTCAACAGTTATACTGACATTTCTTTCTTTTTTTTTCAGATTTATTGGCTCAGCACAAATTTCTTTGAAGGACCTGGCCAGTGGTCAACTGAAATCTCTTCCAGTGAGGAGCGTGCCCCTGGTTAATGAAAAACAACAGCCTACAGGGGTGAATAACATCATACACCACCATAACATCATTATATATTTATGCAAACTTTTCCCATTAACATTAGCATTTAGCCTAGTTTAGCTACTTTTCACATACAGTATAACAAAGATGGTAATATTTTTTACAGGCAAACATAAACCTGAGCTGTGGGTATGAACCTTCTCTCCACACCGCACCAAACCTAAATGACCAGACTGACGGAGACACGTCTCATACTGCAGATGATGGTGAGTAGAGTGTCAGTTTTCAAGTCAAAACCTAGTTGAATTATTTGACAAGATATCTTTGAAGACAACATCCAATAACGATGTCCTTCCAGTAGATACTGCTTAACTTTCTCTGTGATTGTGGTCTTACTTCCAATAGCAGGCAGTGAGGAGGATGAGGAGGGTGAGACAGAGGTGGACGGTGGAGGTCCTACTCCCTCTTTGCCAAACCAGCCTGGAAAGCCTACCCAGAGGCCTGTGCGTCTCAGGAGTAAGAGACACAAAACTCTGGCTAACAAGCCTCAGGACTTCCAGGTACTGTATACAATTTTGAAAATAAAAAACAAAATAAGTTCCTGCAAAGTCGTAAATGCTGGGTTATGATGTATTTATTTGTACTGGATTCACTGTTTAGACACGAGACTTTGACCAAAATATAACTCTCTTTAAAAGTTCCTTTTCTTCGGTTCTCTGAATTCTGTAATGTCCAGATTCGGGTTCAGGTGATCGAGGGTCGACAGTTTCCTGGCAACAACATCAAACCGGTGGTTAAGGTGAATACTTGTGGACAGACACACAGGACCAGGATTAAACAAGGAAACAACCCGTACTTTGATGAGGTACACTTACACACACATTATCACACTACTGCCTGTGTGTCATCAAGAAATACAGTAGCGACCATTTCCCTGTGTCTCAATGTTTTTCTGCGTATGATTTTCTTACTCCAACTAGCGTTGAACTGTCTTTTCACATTCAGCAGCTGCATTGGCCTCTCTGTTAAATAAATATCCTGGATGATGAACTGAAACCTGCAGGGTTTGTCCTGCATCACTTCCTGGTTGCAGCACTTTTTCTTGCCAAAAGTGAAACTTTGATCAAATAACTTTCTCTCTGTTCTCCAACAGCATCATCGGCGTATGTTTGTCAAAAATAATTTGTGTTGGGTATGAACTGGCTGCGGTGTTACATGTTTTGTACCAATTATTTCCAATTACTTCACTGTCAAATTTATATTTCTAACGTATCTGTGTGAAACAGAAATACATCTCAAATCCATCTGCAAACAATACGTCATTTTCTTTGTCTTTTAACTTTTGAATGCCCATGTCTTTTCGTAATGACTTGTGCTTTTATACCTGTTTTTTTTTTAAGATGATCTACTACAACGTTAACATGCTCCCGTCGGAGCTGTTTGATGAGAGCATAAATCTGCGGGTGTGTATAATATTTTAATATATTGAAACATTGTGTTGAGATAATTTGGTGGTTTTTTTTTTTCATATTCCATTATTTTCATGACAGGTTTATAATTCCTACTCTCTGAGAGCTGACAGTCTAGTAGGAGAATTCAAGGTATAAGAGTTTATTATCTCCTGAAGAAATAAGCTCTGTTTTTGTAAATGTCAATGATGTGACTTGTGTCTTGTTATTCACTAGTGTAGAACAGGTTTGTCGCTGGTGTCACCAATTTCCCACCAATAATGTTGTATTTTTTTGTCTAATGCAGTTGGATGTTGGCTACATATATGACGAACCAGGTCAGTGTTTATTTATGAATGTTGTCCATTTTTACACTTTCTTAATTATATTAATGTATATACATGTTAAAGGGACATCATTGTATAATTCCCTCTGCAGGTCATGCCATACTGAGGAAATGGCTCCTCCTCAGTGACCCTGACGACTTAGGAGCCAGAGGTTACCTGAAAGTCAGCATAGTTGTTGTCGGAACTGGTGATGTGCCACCGGTACGATCTACTGATGTGATGTACAACCATATAGAAAACAGACAGAGCACACAGGAGACCTCCTCTCCTCCTCTTTTCTTTTCCTTTCCTTTCTTCTCTTACCACCTCCTCTCACCTCCTGTCCAGCCTGACAAAAAAGAGCACAATGAGGACAAGGACGACATAGAGACCAATCTCTTGGTGCCAGCAGGAGTCACGATGCGATGGGCTACCCTGAGTATTAAAGTTTACCGGGCAGAGGACATGCCACAGAGTGAGTGACACATCATTCAAAAATCTCTCTGACATCTGCGGCCTGATGTTGTCAGATCCACTCAGTCCCATTTCTTGTTGCAGTGGACGACGCCTTTGCTCAGAACGTGAAACAGGTCTTCAAAGGAGATGGAGACAAAAAGAACTTGGTGGATCCATATGTGGAACTGAGTTTCGCTGGAAAGAAGGTATCTTGTTTTAGGAGAATGAAAAAAAAAACACATCAATATTCTGTTAACTAATAATGATAATATTTAAATTCATTTTTCTGCCCTAGCTCTGCACCAAAATCATTGAGAAAAATGCCAACCCAGAGTGGAATCAAATCCTCAATTTTCAATTCAAGGTGCAGAAGCTAAACAATTACTCTATAAATCTGTCTTAGTAAAAAAAAGAATTAGCATTAAATGATGAATATTATCCTCCTGTAGTTTCCATCCATGTGTGAACGTGTGAGACTGACTATGTTCGACTGGTAAGAGTCATTGTTTCAGGCTATGATGTCATAGAAAGGACAGTGTTTGACGCGTTAACTTTCCCTCGGCAGGGACCGTCTCACCAAGGACGATCCCATTGGAACGACATTCCTGAATCTGAACACAATGTCTTCTCCTGGTGGAGAGGCCGATGGTGAACATATCGTTCGTTATTTATCCAAATGTTAAACATCTGTGAGACTGTTCAGGTTCATTTTAAGACATGTCTGTGTTCCAGGCAGCACAGACACCTCAGAAGTCGGTTTTCTCCCGGCTTTCGGACCATGCTACATCAACATGTACGGTAGCCCCAGGGAATACACCGGCCTCCCGGACCCATACGAGGATCTTAACTTAGGAAAGGTAGCCAAAAAGTTCCAGTCCTGTCTTCACATGTAGGATTTCTTTTTTTTTTACACGTAAGGTTTTCTTTTGTTTGTGATTAATTTTTCCTTCCGCAGGGTGAAGGGGTCTCCTACAGGGGGAGGATCCTGGTGGAGCTGTCCACTCAACTGGACGGGAAGGTAGACAAAAAAATAGACGACATCTCCAGCGATGACATCCTGGTGGCACAGGCACGGCTTTCACACTTTCAAAATGCATTTTGTCATATAATACTGTCAACCTTGAACACTAAATGACACTTTTTAAAAAATGTGATTGTAGAAATACCAGCGGAAGAGAAAGTACTCTTTTTGTGCTGTGCTACACAGCGCCTGTATGCTCCAAGAGCCGGGGGAACCTATTCAGTTTGAGGTCAGCATTGGTAACTATGGTAACAAGTTGGACTCCACCTGCAAGCCCCTGGCGTCCACCACCCAGTACAGCAATGCTGTGTTTGATGGTATAAAGGAGATTTACTATATGTATGCACACACACACATATAAAAATATATATTTATATATATATGTGTATATATATACATATATACATCTATGTGTATATGTATAATTTATTTTATTTTATTTTTTATTATGAATTCATGTGTTTTTGACTTGGATATGTTGCTAAATAAATTTACAATGTTATATTTTAATGTTGTAAATTTAAATACATTTTTTAATTTTTATTTTATTTCATTCAATGACAGACAGAATACTATACTTAAATGTTAAGCATTTCGTTGATGTTATCCGTCATGTTCAACCCCTCCGCTTGTGTTTGCTATGACTGGTGTGTGTTTGCAGGTAATCACTACTATTACCTTCCCTGGGCTAACACCAAGCCTGTGGTGATTCTCACCTCATACTGGGAGGACATCAGCCACCGCCTGGACTCTGTCAACATTCTCCTCTCTGTTGCTCAGAGACTGGTCAGAGACAAAGTCACAGAGCATGAGTAACTCCTCTGGCCATGCAGAGAGGACAACACGATAACTTATGTTTGTCTGCAATTGTCATTTATTTTAGGAGTCCCATCTTATTTCTTTAAAGACGGCCATCTTGGCCAAGATGCCCGAGTCTCGACTGGCAGAGATTTGGATCAAACTCATGAACCACATGATTGAGGATCTGAACAGGTGCGACTGGACTTCAGAAATGCTAAACTGGTTTCAACTCTGATTTTTAGCTCTTATTGTACTTCCTGGCTGTGATTGGACAGTGTGCAGCTGCCGATGCTGGAAGGTCAGGCCAACCTGACTACACTGGACCTTCAGATCAGCAAACTGCGAGAAGCCGCCCTGCAGAATCTCAGTCAGACGGCCAGTCATATGCGAGAGAAGGCCACGGATGTTAAAGCCACTGTCAGCGATATTGAAGACTGGCTGGACAGAATCAAGCAGCTGGCACAAGAAGTGAGAGAAAGAGTACTTTATCTAATCCAGTGGTTATCATATTGGGGGCAGGGCCCCCTTATTGGGCCACAGATTTGTGTCTTTAGTGCTGGGGGACCATTAAGCTAATTCCACAGTGCCATGAAAGCTGCATATAATGTTGTTGTGTTTCCACTAGTCTCAGAAAAGCATGCCTGATGTGATTATCTGGATGTTAAGGAGAGAGAAACGTGTGGCCTTTGCCAGAATTCCAGCACATCAGGTCCTTTACTCCAGCTACAATGAACAAGCCTGTGGCCAACACTGTGGAAAGACTCAGACCGTCTTCCTGCAGGTACCTTACAAGATCATTGTTATTGTATTTTTTCATCACAGGTCACCAGAGGAGGTCATCTTTGTTCACATTTCCTCATTTTTTTTCCACTGATTACAGTTCGGATTTAGTCTTAAACCGAATCTTAGTCTCAGTTTAGTCAATGACATTTTAGTTGACAAAAATTCAGAGGAAATATTTTTAGTTATATTCAGTTAATATTTATTACTGATGAACAAATCTATAATGTTTGAATCTTTAGTACCCCATGGACAAGAACAAAGGTTTGAAGATCCCCGTCATGCTGCGGATCAACATGTGGCTCGGTCTCTCTGCCCACGAGAAGAAGTTCAACAGCTCCTCTGAAGGACACTTCAGTGTATATGCCGAAGTGGTACAGCATTTACTTCTAATCTGACTATTTCTTTTTTTAGTACTATAAAAGTAATTCTGTTTTCTCTTTCAGTTTGATGTACACATTCTGTGGCATTTTGTTTCTAAACAGTTTGAAAACCAGGCTCAGGTGTTTGGGAAGTGGGGAACCACTGGACTCGTTGGTCGCCATAAATTTTCTGATGTGACCGGAAAGATGAAGCTCAAACGAGAACGATTCCTGCCACCCCGGGGATGGAAATGGGACTCTGAGTGGTTTGTGGACTCTGAGCGGTGGCAGTAAGTTTAGAATTCTGCCTCTCTTTCTCTCTCTCTCTCTTTCTCTTGCTGTCTTTCTCTCTCATCCTCTTCTCTCTTTCTCTCTCTCTCTCTTTCGCTTGCTGTCTTTCTCTCTCATCCTTTTTCTCTCTCTCTCTTCCTCTTTCTCTTTATCTGTCTTTTGCTGATTAGTGTCCTGAAATTAACTTAAACCAGTTTTCGTTCTCCTTCAAACAGAAACATTCTGTTGCTGATGCCACTGTTTTCTATTTAATCAGCCAGTCAGTAATTTTGAAGGAGCCAAACAAAGCAAAACATTCACAAAATACAGGAAATGACAAGAAATTAAAGCTGGTTTCACTATGAGGGGGTCTTCTTCCCTCCTTCTCCTCCCCTCCCTCTCCTTCCCTCCTTCTCCTTCCCTCCCCCTCCTTCCCTTCTTCTCCTCCCCTCCATTTCATGTACTGTAAACAACCTTAACTCAATGTTAAGATCTCTGTTCCGTTCTGCTGAACTGTTTATCATCATCTTTCGCTAACATTCCACACCCTCTTTCTGGGCTTCTATTTTTTTGTTTTTTTTTAACAGCTCTCTGACAGAGGCAGATGCCGGACACACAGAGTTCACCGATGAAGTGTTTCAGAATGAAACACGTTTTCCTGGAGGGGAGTGGGAACCTGCAGCTGAGCCCTACACAGACGTGGTACGACCTGAACGACTAGTGTAACTGATGACAGCCTGTTTTTATTTCCCTCTAATTGGCAAAAGGCTACTTTCATGCCAGAAGGAAACAAATAGCTGAGTATTAAACAGTACTATTCAACACTGACACTGTCGTCACATTGGACACTATATAAATACATCTAAGGTAAAGTCACAACATTGTTGTGTGTCTTTTGTGAAGAATGGAGAAAAGGCTCAGAGTCCAGCGGAGTTTGACTGTCCTCCAGGATGGACCTGGGACGAGGAGTGGAGTTTTGACATTAACAGAGCAGTGGATGAGAAAGGTAACAGCAGTCAAGATGAAACTGAAATTTATTACCAACATTTACACACTCAAAATGTTAACAAAGCTTTTCTGTCTGTATTTTTTGTCCCCTGTCGTCAGGTTGGGAATACGGGGTCACCATTCCCCCTGATGATAAGCCCAAATCCTGGGTGGCAGCTGAGAAGATGTACCACATCCACCGCAGGAAGAGACACATGAGACACAGGAGGAAGACTTCGGACAAAGCAGCAACAACTGCAGTAAGGGGGCGCTAATGAGAGTATGGGGTCATTTCTAAAGCCGCAGGGTGAAATTTAGATGTTTTTGGTGTGTTATCCTCTGTTTGCCTAGCGTCAAGAACCAGGAGATGGCTGGGAATACGCGTTACTGATTGGCTGGAAGTTCCACAGGAAAGAGCGGTCCACTGACACTTTCCGTCGCCGCTGCTGGAGAAGAAAGATGGTCCCGTCAGACCGGATTGGAGCGTCCGCCATCTTTGGCCTGGAGGGGGCATTAGTAGGTTTACTTACTGTATAACTCTAATGCTATACATCAGAGGTCAACATACATACATACATATATATATATACATATATATATAAGTGTTAATTCCACGATTTCACTAGTGTCACGGTTAATAGTACTTTTGACTTTTGTGCGTGTGCGTGTGTTTAGTTGGTGTGATTTATCTCCAACTTCAGCAGAGGTTCAATTCTGTCATAACTCATTAAATAAAGGAAATACCAGTAGTTTCTCATTTCCTTTTCCTTTTCTGCTGACATATTTTTCTGTGGACCCTCTTCTTCTAAACCTTCCGTTTTCATCAACAGGGCATGGACGTCGATGATAAGGCCACCAAAGAGGATGCAGCCAAAGTATTTGGCGCTAACACACCCAATGTATCCTGCCACTTCAGCTGTAAGTCACGAGATGATTGGATTAATTACACTTCCTGTCAGTGGTGCTGATAGAAAGACTTCCTGTCTGCTTTTCTGAAAGTCTTAGATAAATACAGTAGACGTTCGACAGTCGTGTCTGTGCGTAAGATTATGTTGTTTACAGAGGTTTTCCGATTTGCTCAAAAATTGAAATGATCTCTTTTCAGGCTCTCACATTTACCAACTGAGGGTTTATGTGTATCAGGCCAGGAATCTTATTCCTATGGACAAAGACAGCTTCTCAGGTGAAGATCCAACAGTTACAATGCGGCAGTTTTCAAGTTCTGCATTTGTGCATACATATGGATTTATACATTATCTCTGAAGTAATACCATGCTCCTCATCAGACCCCTACGCTCACGTGTCATTCCTACATGTGAGCAAAACCACCGAGGTCATCAGGAGCACTCTGAACCCTACCTGGGATCAGACCCTCATTTTTGATGATATTGAAATCTACGAAGACCCACAGACGCTGGCCCAAAATCCTCCTGATGTGGTCTTGGAACTGTTTGACAGTGACCAGGTGGTACGTGAGGTTTTTACTCCAGCAGTGAATGATGACACAATAACAAAATGAATCACACAAATATCATTCCATTTTAATTTCATGTCTGCTGGATTTTTTTCCGAACTAGGGCAGCGACGAGCCCATGGGTCGTTGCACTTGCCCCCCGGTGGTGAAACTGAATCCCGATGCCGCTGTCACGCCAAAGCTTCTGTGGTTTCCAGTCAACAGAATGTGCCGTGGTGCAGGGGGGAGCCTGCTCCCTGCCGAGCGCTTGCTGAAGGACAAAGAAAG